CCCCTTACTCTGTCCGACCTTTTGCCGCTTACGAGACGGGCGTCATTATTGAGATACCTCCTCACATCTGGAAGGCAGGTCCAGTCCAAGCCTCCCAGGACCCCGTCTTGCCGTAAGGGCTTCCTCACGAATTGTTCCTCCCGAGTGGTAATTTTCTGGATCCGGCCTCTTCCTTTCAAGAGAGTTGGGGCTCTCAATTAGTCCACGAGTGCAGTTACGAAGACCTCGCAATTAGTCCCGAAGCGGTTGTAATGCTCCGACGGGCGGGTGTCAATGCCCCGTGGTGGTTGTGGCTTCCACCCGGTACCACGCTCAACTCCTCCCTCTGGACAGTGCTGCTCAACTTAACGCGAGCCGCCGTGGTCCATTCCAAGCGGCCATGCCGCTCCTCAACGACATGGCGTGTGGTTAGGGAGAACAAAACAGACTAGAAAAAAAAGAATGGCTCTCTCGCCCATTGGTTCCCTCACCCTTTGACGTTTAGGCGTTCAACCCGAGGCGCAACTTGCACTTCCTGACTAGAGCTCGTTGTCGGGGTCAGTTCCGGACGTACCGCACCGATCCAAGTGGTAGGTGCCTTGGTCCTTTAACCCTCATCCCCTTACAAGAGGAACAGGTCGCGCTGAGACTTTTTCTCTTACAGGGATAGAGGTCTTGGGGTCGCGGTGCGAGTACCGGTATCCCCCTCCTGTTGAGGCCAAAGACTAGAAAAAGAGAAATCCATTTCAATGATATTTCCAAGTCCATTTCAAGTTGCCTAGGGTCCCCTGCCTATGCAATGCAATATTCAATCCTCAATCATTCAATCCAATGCTATTTCCAAGGCTGATTCTCATGGCTAGTTTGACAGCCTCTTATCAACAAGGCGCCCCCCACGGCCGGTTTGGCGGTCATTCTCTCAATAGCCATTTTTCAAGACTGACCCTTCCGCCCACTCAATCCTCAATTTTCTCATTCCTCAACACCCAATTTTTGTGACCGTCCCAACGGTCCCTGCCCTTCTCGACTTTAAGGTTCTGCCTTCCTTATCTTGTCCTTCTCTTTCGCATTTTTCTTCCGCACCCTTGACAATTTTCATTGGCCGACCCGCTGACCGTTTCCATTTCTTCCATTCAACTCATTGGCTATTTCAACGACCGATCCACCGGCCTTTTCCACCTCTCTCATCCATCCTTTGGCTATTTCAATAACCGACCCACCGACCTTTTCCATTTCTCTCATCCCATTGGCTATTTCAATGACTGACCCACCGGTCTTTTCCATCTCTCTCATCCATCCTTTGGCTATTTCAATGCCTGACCCATCGGCCTTTTCCATCTCTCTCATTCATCCCATTGGCTATTTCAATGACCAACCCACTGACCTTTTTCATCTCTCTCATTCATCCCATTGACTATTTCAATGACCGAGCCACCGGCCTTTTCCATCTCCTATTGCTCATTCCAGCTTATCCTCAATCAACCTTTCTCAATCAAATATGCAGGGGACCCCAGCGCCTATTTCCAAAGGAATGACCCTTGTCAGGGGCCATTCCCGAACAACCTGGTTAGGGTCGTTATTTTCCATTCTCAAGTCGAACAGCCTGGTTAGGGTCATTCCTTTCCATTCTCAAGTCGAACAGCCTGGTTAGGGTCATTCCTTTCCATTCTCAAGTCGAACAGCTTGGTTAGGGCCATTCCTTTCCATTCTCAATGTTAGTGCCCGAGGGGGTGGGCCTCGAGGTTATGAATCTCATTTCTGTCTAGGAGGTTAGAAGGTGGCCATCTCATTTTTTGCGTGTTGTTCTCTCTCTTCCATTTCTCCTAGTAATGTACCATCCATTCCATTTCTCACAGTAATGTACCATCCATTCCATTTCTCACAGTAAAGTACTATCCATGCGTACATCCGACTTAGCGTCTAGCACTCGAGTTGGGGCTTGCGACCCCAAGCAGCACTAGCCCACCCGGCCGTTCATCCATAACAAATGACAAAATCGCCCCTTTCATTTTCACTTTTCCTGATATCTCAGGTTTTCGGTTATTCTCAGTCTCATTCATGACTGAGTTGGATTAGGTTCCTAGGGAAGGAGTGTTTTTCACGCTCTTTAACCCATAGGTTCCCTAACCTCTCTTGTACTTGACCAATCATTCAATGTCATGGTTTGCTCGTCAATCCGTACTCAAGGTTTTCCCCTCTGAAAAGCATAATCCTTATTTCATCCAGAATTCACAATACGCCCTCTCCCAATTGGTCTCATCCCAAATCCCATGTCTTTGTCTTATGTACCCAAGGTAGCTCATTCAAAAAGTAGCCTAAAAAACCATCTTTTTATCTTATCGTGACACATCCTTAGCTTGCCCTCTTTTTACTTCCTCCTTAGCAAACTTGCCCATACTATACACGTTCTTGTCATTCTCATGTCTCTGCAGACGGAAAAGCAGCGATCCTTTCAATGCTAGGTCAACACATAGTTCCTATTGCTGCCTTTTGCCTCGTCTTGCCCAGTTCCTTGTCTACCCCGTTCCTTGGTAAGCTTCCTAACCCCCAGGTCGTTGGTCTCGATCTCTCTTTTCATCCTTACAATTTTATGCAACTCTGCCTCGTTAAAAAAATCCAGTGGTGTGGCTTCCACCCCTGCCCTTGCAAGTTCCCGAGTCTAGATAATCCATTCGTGCCTGATTACATTGGTCCATTGTTGAAACTAATGTATGGGCGTGGGCCCGAACTCGTCCTCCCATCTGAAAGCCCCATCGCCCGGTTGGTGCATCGGAGGCCGCCCCTCTTCCCTACGCCTTGAGATTTCATCCCTCTCATCCCCCCTGCTGATTTCTACGACTTCTCGCACATCCTCCTCCTCGTCCCCCTCGTATTCAGTCTGTATGGGGCTATACTCACCAACAAAGTTCTTTAGATCGTAGGTAAAAGGGACCTCTGTCCCTGTCCCATACCCCTCGCAACTGCCGTGACCGCTTCGTCCTTCAAGCGGGCTCTCCCTTTTCTCCTCGTCCTTCTCACGTTCGTCGCGCATACCTTGTCCCCCCTCGCTTTCCCCATGCCAAGTCTCACGTGGTCCGCCCCTGTTAGCCCCTTCCTCGTTGGCGACCCGAGCCTTATCACTCATTTTTGTGTTGCCTATTTCTTCCACATTTGCCCTTCCCTTTTCGCCCTCACTGTCAGATGATATTTCTATACCTTCTCCCTTGCGGAGGGGTGAGGGTTTCCTACATAAGCATTTTCTTCCACCCCTGCCTACCACTGACCCGCCCATGAGCCCAATGTACAATTTTCTCTTCGCTGTCCTCCTCCCTTGGCTTGGTCCAGTTTCTTCCCCCCCGGTAGGCCTGTTGATTGCCCCGCTGTCGTTCTCGTTGCCGAATTCAATTTTTGTCTTTTCTCGTTTTACTGCTAAGCCCTGTATAACAAAACAACACCCGCAATGTCCCTCACACTCTCGCGCCTCCCCCCCTTTTAGGCCGGTAGACATTCCCAAAGTGCACCCAGTATCCCTCGCATCATGCCCCTTTTATACATGCGAATGCGTCGTTTGTGATGACCCCTTTTTTTTTTTTTTTTTTTTTTTTTTTGGTAAAAAACTATGGTACAATGCCCCAAACATCCCTTCCCGTTGTCACACAAGCCAGATATTGCAAACCCCCAAGTCATGATGCCTTTCAACCTCAGTCAGTCCAAGTCAAAGCGTCAGTCCCCAAAAAAATGACAGTCCCAGAAACATGGTCAGAGACAACCCATAGTGTGGGCAAGGCTATGGTCAGTCTTTAGCTTGAGGCTCCTCTGTTTCCTTATCTTCGGCCTCCTGAAGCCATTGTTGCACTGGGTCCCGACTTAGAAACCTGACCAGTCGTTGCCCCGGGAAGGGCCCTTTCAATCCCGTTCCATCCAAATCTTCCAGTTCGAAGGTGTTCAGTCTCACCCGCTTGGCGACCCCGTAGGGGCCTTTGAACCTCCTTCCTAACTGACCCGACCAAGTACTTTCTAGTGCCGAGTTCCTTAGCAATACAATCTCCCCCACCTGAAGTGGCTCCTTTCTGACATTCTTAACCTGATCTCACCTTGCTTTGTCCCTCATTCTGCTGTCCAGCACCCGGCTGGCAATGTCTTCCATGACCTCCTCATTCTTAAGGATTTGTTGACATCTTGCCTCGATTAACTCTTCAGTGGTCATTTGTGGATCATCATCTAACCTATTCCAGGTAGGTACCAAGGCTTCCACAGGAAAGTCGATCTCTCTTTCGTACCAAAGCTCTGCCGGGATACACCCTGTTGTCTTTTTAGGAGTCATATTCTCTGCAAAGACAGCGTACTTAAGATACCTAGGTCAGTTCCCCAGATGGTCTGCTGCGAGCTTTGCAATCGTGTACTTCAAGGTTTGGTGCCCCCTTTCCACAGGTGCATTGGCCTCAGGGTGATACGGCTCGATGAGTTTGATCGGTACGCAGAGTCTATTAAGCATCCCCAATACTTCTTGGTTCACAAATCCCGTCTCATTGTCGGTTATAAACCTCCTTACGAAAGGATGCCTTAAGTAGAAGTCTTCTATCCAGTCCGCCACACTCCTCCCTGTCTTTTTCTTGAGGGCGACAACCTCGACGAACCCACTCAAGTGGTCTCGCGCATCCAGAATAAACCTGTACCCATCTGTTGATGCAGGCATGACCGCAAGGTCGAGGTGGACCAGATGTCCCGGCCCTAGCACCCGCGTTGGTCTAAGCGGCTCGAAAACTCGTACCGTGCTTCGTTCTTGGCAAATAAGGCAAGTCTGGCAGTATATGGTGACCATGCCTGCCATGCCTGGCCAATAATAGAGCGGCGTTATCTTTGCAAGTGTTCCTTTGGACGACCGATGACCTCCAGCTAACCCGTCGTGCATTGCCTGGATAACGTCTACTTGCCTAGATCTTCCGCACACAACCCTTCTGGGCATAGCATCTTCCTCCCTTCGGAACAAATGTCCGCCCCTTAGGACGTATCTTTCGGCTTCTTCCCTTGCTTTAATACTGACCTCCGTAGGTTATTTGTTTCCTACCAACAACAACCCGATCTCCCGAAAGAGTCCTTCGTATGATTGGACATAGAAAAACTCCCTCCCGTCCTTGCCTCCATCCTTTCCTTCTTGCATCTGATTTACCACCCATTGCAACTCTTTCCTTTCCCAAGATTCCACTCAGCTCATCACTGCTTCCCGGCCCCCTTCAACCGCCATTGCTATTAGCTCCTCCTTTTGTTCTACTATCGCTCCCTATGAGTCCTTTTCTTCCCTGTGTCCTCGAGTGGTAACTGGTCCTTCCCTAAATTCTGCTACTACGGCAGGTGCCCCCTTCTCTTAAGTCTGGATCAATAGTTCTCCCGATGTGCATCCCTCGCTCATCATTTCGTTATCCACCGCGAGTGTCCCTCCTTCGTATTCGAGGAAGGCGTCTATGGGCTCTGCATCCTCCATCCCTTCGGGAGTGATGCAAACCCGACTCAGCCCATCTGCCTTGTTGCGGATTTCAGCAATCCGTCCGATCTTGTAATCGAACTGCCAGATGAATCCTACCCATCTCCCTACCGTCGGATCTATAGGCTTGTAATTCTTTAGAGCCTCTGCGACATTCGTCGGATCGATCCTTAAGATGAACCGCCTCCCAAATAGGTAGCCCTGGAAGGTCTTAAGGCAATGCAGGATGGCTAAGACTTCCTTCTTGAATTGCGAGTACCGCCGTTCTGAGGAGTTCAAGGTTCTACTTTCGAATCTAATCGACCTCTCTTTTCTCCCTCATCCTTTTGAATCAACACATCTCCTATGGCCAAAGGTCTTCCATCCGTCTCTAGGATAAAGGGTCGTCCCACTTCGTCATTTAAACAAGGCGCGGACAGGGCGACTGTCTCAGATGTCAATATGTCCTTGAGCCTTTGGACAGCTCCTTCTCGCTCCTCCGTCCAATCCATGGTTCCTTCTTCCCTGATCATAGCCCGGATAGGCTCAACAATCTTGGCAAAGTTCTTAATGAAGATCCTCCAAAAGCCAACTACGCCTAGGAAACTCCATTGTCGTGCGCAACGGTGTCGGCCATTGTGATATCTTGTCGGTCTTTGCCGGATCCGGCTTCCTGCCGTAAGCACCGCAACGAAATCCTAGTATAGGTACCTCCGGTACTGCTAGGATACTCTTTGGTCCACTAGCCGTAATGTTGTATACTAGGAACCGACGGAGTAAGTCCTCTATGTCCTGCAGGTGGTCCCACACAAAACGTCGGAACCCTGGCTGGATTTCCGTCTCGTCCTTTTCCTGCGTGCCTTTGATCGGATTGTCATCGATGTAAGGTTCACATTTTTTTGGGAACATGAGCATCCTGCGTTGCACTTCGGCCACCGCGTTTGTGAATCCCATAGGTGTCACTTGCATCTGTAGCTGGCCTACGGGGGTGTGCATAGCGGTGTATGCCCTGTCCCGAACATCCAATGGAAGTTGGTCGTACCCTGAGTACAGATCTATCAGGGAGTAAATGCTCCGACCGGCGTGCGATTCTACTAATAAGTCAACCTGAGGTAGCGAGTCAGCATCCCGGATGGTTACCGCATTCAACTTCTGCAGGTCCTGAATCCACCTTAGTGTCTTGTTAGGCTTCCGAAAGAAGAACCATCGATTTGCGTATGGCGATGCTGTAGGCTCCGCAATGAAGGAGTCCATCTTCGCTCGGAGGAGGTCTGTTACTTCTCCGGCTATCCCAAATTCATAGGATGGCCCCTTATCATTCCAGCACTCATGTTCTACCGTGTGGATTCTGACCGGAGGGATCAACTTCGCATCCAGTCGTCCCTTCTGGTGATCACTAAAGGCAAATGCCAGGTGAAACTCCTTGCAGGTCCTTTTGATCAGGTGGGTTTATTTCTCTGTTAAAAACCCGTCTATCCCTATCTTCATTGTGTCCGCTACCTCATCTGGTATCCGATGTTCCTCCGTCGCCCTTCTTTCTCGGATCACTCGAAGGACCTCTTCCTCCTTTTCCATAGCCTCTTCCTTTGACGTCTGTAGCAGGATCGAGACCGATTTTGCTTTCTTCCCTACCGACTTGTACTTTCGAACACTTCCTTCCGGGATCTTTCTCCTAAAAAATGAACAGTTGGAATCGCCCCCGCCGCCTCTAGGACGCGTGGTTGAATACTAACCAGTTTCCCATTCAGGCAATATCCCTTTTGCACCTCWCTTTCGAACTTGGCCAAGGCTGCCGAATCCACTCCTATCTTGTGGTATCTGAGGGCCTTGATGAGTTGCAATAGATCGGGGATTTCGATTGCGATTTTCGGCACGTCTATGCGTACTTCTTTCCGTTTGGGCAGGCTAGCACCAAGTTCGACCCATGACTCCTTTTCCGCTACCATAACACCTAGGACTTCGTCCTCCTGCCTCCTCTTCTTTTGGGGCAGGCCCATCTTGATCCATTTCTTCTTGTTGAATGCTTCCTCAATCATGATTTCAACCCTTTCTCTCATACCCTCTATCCGTGCGAAAGCTCCTTTTCGCGTGCTATCCTCGAACGACGACGACCATGTTGCCAATTTCCCCTTTGGAGGGTCTCCTCCCATTCCAAGGAGGCGGAGGAGATCTCCCCGGCCGGTCACAGGGTCCTCTATGTCTACCATGTACGAGCCATCGTGCAAGTGCATGCCTATCATCTCTACGTTCGCGCACCACAGTCTCCCGAGGATTATGTCGTGGTCATCCGCTGAAACGACCAGATCGATTCCCTGACCCCTTTACAGCACACTTCGTGACGTACCCAGCGAACGGGATTTCCCCGTCAGCTCCCCGGATGCTCCCTATTACTTCCTTGTTTACCGTACATCTCGTGATCGCTGCGAAATCTCTCCTTATGAGAGTGATTTCCGCTCCCCTGTCTACTAATGCGTCGGTGTGATGACTCCCGATCTGGATTTTCAATTTCCCTACGGGTAGCGAATGAAAGCTAAGCTTCGTCCCGGGTGGTGATCTCATGACTTCGCCGCCCTCTCGGTCAGGCAAGCTCAAACGAATGTCTGCAAAGGTCTTTTCGAGATCCTCCAAGTCCCCGTGACTCCTCTGAAGGTTAGCCACTTCTTGCGGAGCTTCCTCCTCCCTCCCCCCTTCTGGTAATTTGGGGTTGTCGCCTATTTCTACTCGCCTCCGAGTCAACAGTTGTCTGAACCCCTTGAGCAACCTAGGGCTAGCCTGCAGCATGGTCTGAAAAGACACCGACACCATGGTTCATAGTAACTTGCTAATAGTGTCGTCGAGCTCAGGCAAGGTCAAGATCAGGATTTGATACCTAAACTTCTTCTTGGCGGCGGTAGCCTTGTCCGCAGGCTCCTCTTCCCTAGGCTTCCCATAGACTTTCTCTGGTTCCTCGGCCTCAGGCTCTGCCTGGGGTTCGGAGCTTTCAGCGACCTCCTCCATAATGTGTCACGGTTAATCCTTCTCCCGGTCGTCCCCAGTCGAGTGGTTGCGTTCACCCTATCACGCCCGCCGCTTTCCAAAATAAAGTTAGCCTGCGGTTGATCCCAGATGATCTCACCCACCGACTCGGCTTCTACGGTTGTTATTTCTAACCCGTTAAGCATGATAATGCCTCGCCGCATCCCTCTTGGTGAGTTTCAGTTCACCCGTTCCTCTTGTGGTCCAAATATTTCCCCCTTTAATGACCTGGTACACCTTCTTTTCAGAATATCATGGTTGAGCTTTGGGCATGCGCACACATAATGTCCTATCGCGGTGCAGTACTTGCATTGCTCGTTAGCAGGATCTCTCCGTCCGAATCCTCAGTTTGCCACACCTGGCGGGACCACAGCTTCCTGGGGAGGGAGGGCAGGTTGGGATACTTGCGCCTGCATAATCAGTAGCGCGCAATCTTATTATCGACCCCGTGCACCCGTTCATGTACACTTTCAATCCCCTTCTTCACCTTGTCGCCCGTCCTACCGGTCAGATCTATGACCTCTCCTTCCTTGAGCAAGGCCAACGTCTCCGTTACTACCGTTTTCCTCGCCAGATCCGTTACTGTGCTAAAATCAATGTCCCGAGTGTTTACGAACTTGCTCGTCTGTTGGTAGGCTGACAGGATCTTGTCTTTGTCAAACTCGGAGAACTGCCTGAGGAAATATTTGCTCATTATCCGGTCCATGACCCCGGGGATCCTTAGTGCTACCAGAGTAAACTCCCGTAGGAAATCATTGTACGTTGCGAAGTTCTTCCTGTAAACCGCCGCTAGGTCGGTCTCCGTTGCCATTTTCTCTGCCGCTAGGTACTTCCTCGTCATCACATCCCGGGTCTCCTTCCAAGACCGGCTTGTGGCTACAATGGCCATTATGTCCCGTCCTAGGCTTAACGACACATGCTGTCCTAGATGGTCCATATTTTTCTCCTCGGTCCATTTTAGTAACACAGCTAGGTTCTCGTAGTCGATTAGGAACTCCGTGATGTTTGCTCCATCGAAAGTCAGTTTTTTCTTGGCGTCTGCCAGATAGCCTTGATTTTTGTTTAGTGCTCGCGCGAGGGACGACACTATCTTCTTAAGGCCGCCCTAGGAGCTGTTGGCCTCGCCTGCCACATTGTTATCTGGACTTTCCTTGCCGGTCTTCTGTCCCTCCCTGGTTTTCATCGTTCCTTCCGGGTTAAAGCATCCCAACACTCTTTCCCTAAGGCTCCAAAGTCCTTCGCATCCTCGCGCTACTGCTGGCGTGATCAGTAGGCGGCTAGCCCTACTATCCATGGTTAGCGGAGTCGTAGCCTTTTTTGCTTCCATCCCTGGAGAGTTCTCTCTCTTTTTCCTTCTCTTGCTTGGCGTTCCCCTAGTGTCACTAGCTTTATCCCCTTGTCCAGTCCCACCTTGGCTGACTCTTCGTTCGTTCCGGGGCTCCTCCTGCAGAGAACCTTCCTCGTTCCCAGTCATCATTTCCTCAATCAATTTTGCCTTGTATTCTGCGGTCCTCTTGTCGATCTCGGCTAGTCTGCGCCTCGTATCCGTGACCCTTACTTTCTTAGGCATGGTTCCTTCCGAGTTTCGGGGGCTTGTCCTATCCTTATTTCTGCCTTCCTTGGTCCCCTGGGTCCCTTGCCTGCTTCCCCCGGTTTTCCCYGAGCTTTCCCTTGTGGAGATTTCCTTCCGGTTCCCTTTGGTACCATCCGGATTTATCGAATCTCTGTCCTTCTGCCCCCCTTCGCTTTGCGCGGCACTGCCTTCTAAGCYTGGTTCTCCTTCACTCTTACGGTTATCTGTCTCCTCCTCCGTTGCCATTTTGCCTAGTTCTGCATAAGCCAAAGAATTCCCAGGACACATGCAATGCGAGGTTTTTAGGTTCCCTAGGCTCCCAGCTCTGTTGGCTTTATCTTTATAGTCTCCTTTCCTATCCCCGTTTCCTGATTGCCCTTCCTTAAGGAGGAGCCACGACTGGCCTTGCCGCCCAGCCGAGCTATGAACGTGACTGGGCTTCCTTTATCACAAGCTCATTTGTAGTGCCCTTGTCCCATCGGCCGACGCGGGGGAGTCCGAGTTAGGCATCCTGCTAGGGGAAGCCTTCCCGAGCCGCGTTTCCCATTTTTTACCTTCCGGGTTATGGTCACTCATTAGGAGTCTACCCCCTTCTTTGTTTTTCTAGTGGGTTTTAGCCATCTGGGTCCGAGGTCCCTTTCTTATTCCCATCGGCGGATTTCCGTACGCAGCGAACTATACTGGATCTGCCCTATTGGCCTGCCTGCGGATCCTAGTCTCGCCCGCGCCCTCGTGGTTCTTCCGGTTCGGTCGGCTCCTCGAATAGCTCAGCCACCCCTGCCAAATAGCTCTCTCCTATCTCGATCTCCCTTTGGATTATGCGTTCGTGCCTTGTCTGGTCTAGCCAGGGCGCACAAAATATCAGGATGTGGATCACCTCCAGTAACTCGTGGGCCCTGTTTCCCCAAAACGGCCTATGCCTCAAGGCGATATCATAGAACATCCCGATGGTTAGAGAGGAAAAGTGGTCTGCCCACATTATTGCCGAGTCTGCCAGCTCCCTCGCCCTTGCGAGGCTCCCGAAGACGAGATCTATCATAAAACGGGGAACCCGGCACCTCTGCGGTATGGTTGGTGCCCTAAACTCCCTCCAACCTCCCATTTCCACTCGGGTTAGCAAGCCCACGTTCCTTTTTCCCCTGACCAATTGTCCTATTCGGGTAAACGTCCGGGCGGCCCTTTGAAAGACCGGTGCCAACTCGTGACCTTGTGCTATCTCTACCCCCAACGAATGCCAGCCGATCTCAGGCAGATACATGGTCCCGGTAACTTCCAGATTAGAAAACAGATCATCTATGGGTCCTCGGTGGAGTCTCATCCCTGTCCACCGACATTCTACCAACATAAAGGTGGCGTCCCTTCCCAAAGTCACGGCCCGCCATTCTGTGTCGAACCCCCGATATGTAGAACTCGACGGGAGGGATACTTCCCATCGTCCACCGTTGTTCCGGGGCGGTTCGGGGTACCGGGGCTGGCGTTCCATTCGCACACGGGTCTGGCGTTCCATTCGCTCACGTCTTGCTGCCATTGTTACCTTGGTGATTCCCTGCATAGTCCACATAGAAAGGGTTACAGCCAATCTCTAGAATCTGCCCACCTACTACCTCCCTTGCCCTTCGTGTTTTCATTTCTCTTTTCTTGTCTCAACTATCCCTCTGTACTCCTGGGAGCGGTAGCCTCCTCTGGCTGTTCGTACAGCCGGTAGAGATCATCTATATAGGTTGCGCCCCGACCTACCTCTCGCCGGATGAATCTCCACATGGTCTCATCACTTATTTGCGGGACTCTTGGCCTAGTATTCATCGCTGCTCGTAGAATGCAAAGCACCTCGCGCCCTTGTTCATCCCCGAAAGGCCCCATCTCTAGGAAGGCCCGATAGTATTCTCGCTACATTAGTGCTTCGTCAAAATTTAGCCTAGTTACGGCAGTCACCGCCTGCTCCACTCGTTCTATGCCTCCCATTCGTCTTAGCAGAAAGGGTGGTAGACTCATCCGTACGACCTCATTTGGCAGCTCAAAAACCCCTGCCGCGGCGACTTTTACCTCAGCGGTCACGTCATCTCGTTCCGGATCTGCAAACTCAAACCCCTCCCGCCAGGTTATTTGCCATGCCCCTTCGAACATTCACACGGGGTCATCCCCGGAAGCCAAAGCAATCTCAAAGGTCCGCCATCCCCCTTCCGACAGGTGTAAGGATCCCGTCGCATGTACACGCCCTTGGCGGTTCAAGTCTACGCCCCTGAACTCCCCTCTCGCACGCCATTCCAGCTCCACTACTAGGTACACCGTATCTTCCACCAACTCTACCCCCACCCAGTCCATTACCGGATTGCCTATCGTATTTCTTGCCGGCAGGCGTATTTCGACCCTGCCTTCTGATATTCTTGGTGGCAGGATCCCACGAGGTCTATCCTCCCAGAACGTCATTCGCCGGACCATCTCGCAATGTCTCCTTTCCTGCTTTCTTAGTCCGATTGCTGCACCCACCGAGATTCCATGCCTTTCGTGTTTTAGTCCTTCAACCCCTCCCTACTTATCGTACACTGGTTCTTGCCGCTATCCCCAACTCATACACGCTCAATTCTACCCCCCCCCCCCCATTTTCCAGTTGCTGTCACTTCCCATTTGTTTCGATTCTTATGCACTATCTACGGCCTAATGTACACACTCCCTTTCTTATGTTACACCTCACTTCACAAACACCCTCCATACTCAGGCCTTTTCGCGGTGTTCGACCCCTTGGCCTCATTCGTCGAACCACAGTACCTCAAATAATTTAAAAACGTCGTCAACGTAGGAGGGTGCAGCCGCCGCCTCTCAGCTACCTATGGCGTCCCAGGACTCCGCCTCTACCTCTAGGCGGTCATACCTGCCTATTCTTAGGACGATGATGACTTCCTCGACTTTATCTCCGTAGAAGGGCCCATATTTCAATGAGAGCCTATAAAACTCCTCAGTCGGCCAGGCACACTCTATATGCACCTTTCTCATGGAGTCGGCTACTTCTAAAATGTGCTCAACCCCCCCAAACCACTCAGCTATGAATTCCGGTACCCAAGCCGTTATCCGTAGACTTTGAGGCTTGAGTTCCTTCCATCCTCCCATCACAACTCTGCTACTAACTTCGTCCCATCCCTCGTTGGCGAACAACTTGCCTTCTTTTCGGGTTCGGGCCTCTGCATCCCCTAGAAGCCACATCGGGTCCTGTCCCATTGCTAACATGGTGCAAAACAGGTGCCATCCATCCTCGGAAAGGACAATCGTTCCAACTCACTCTACCTTGCCTTCTGCTATATCATCCCAACCTTCCTCTTCCCTTATCGGGTTCTAAATCCGCTCTATCCATATATATGACAAGTCTCGAACAACCTCAAACCCAATCCAGTCGCACGTGGTCCCTCTCCATCCGTTCCCTGTTGGTATAGGCATTTCTATTCCTCCTCTGAGTTGTCGTGGTTCCCAGCCTTTGAAGGGGTATTCCATCATCCTTTCTTCTTTAGTTATCTTTCTCTTTCCTGCACAATACCACGCTACCTGTCCTCCCTAAGTTAAGTCACCCTACCCCTCTTAGAAGTCCCAGTCTTCTATCTCTTCATCTTCATCTTCATCACTGAAGTCGTCCTCCTCGTCATATATCAACTCCCTTACCCCATCTAGAAACGTCTCACCTATTGCCACATTCCTATAGACTATCCCTTAATGCACAACGCTAGGGACAAAGATATTGTCTATGCTAAGGCAGTTTAGTATCTCGGCCAGCTCCTCCGCCCAGTTCCTCTCGAATGGCCCCATCTCTACTGATAACCGAAAAAAATCCTGCCTAGCGCATTGGTATAGCCCGAGGTTCGTCATGGACTGGCATATCCGTACTAGCCTGCTTCGAGTTTCGAAAACCGCATCCACTAGGAAGGAGGGCAACACACATCGCATGGTTTTTACGGGTCACCTCATACTTCCTCTATCCCCAAGATCCACCCGTACGTCTACCTTTTCCATTTTCATTTCCCTCCGTTGACATGCAGCCCACACAACCTCCGCTTCTGCCTTCCTAAATAACTTGTTCGACGTATTCCCGAGTGCCAACTCTATGATCATAGCTTTCTCCCCATCTTGCGACAAGTAGACCCACCCCCGGGCTTCCACTGTCCCTCGGAATTCCAAATCCATTAAACTTGGTGACAACCTCGTCAAGCTGACATTAGTCCATATTGTTTCTATCCAAAGGAAAGCATCCTCTCCTTCTAGCATTACCATTTGATACGCTGGTTCAAGGTCCGTCCACGTTCCATTTTCCGGGAGGACGACCGATACCCCATCCTTTACATCTACTGGTATTTCCGGGCCACTAGTATAGATCGGGGAAGGCAACGATCGCACCATCTTGT